ATGCTCTGCAAGGACAAACACATCCAGATACATATTTAGAGGCAATTCTAAGTTGATTTAGGCCTCAAGCCTAGGACCCTAGCTAATTTACAAGGCTGCTCTAGAGAAGACACGGTTTTAGGGATGACGTCTATAGTGTTTGTTCTAAGGGAGAAGATAAAATGCACTCCCACCCTTCAAGAGAACCCAAGAGTGATGATTTGGGGGTTTTGCTGGTTAGTATGTTTTGTTTCTGTTTGTTTGTTTCAGCTCAGAAGGTGTGTTTCCATTGTACCCTGTCAAAAACTTTCTTAGCAGTCAAGGAAAGGAAAGCAACACAGCTGCCCTTGAGCCGAGTTTGTAAATTTTACGGGGAAACCACCCCATGCTGTCAGGTGACGTGGCGTTCAGACACGTCTAAACGAACTAGTTGAATTAAAGACCAACTCCAGACTTGATGTTGCTGAGCTCCTCAGCTCCATCTTGCCATCCTGATTGATCGAGGAGATGGGTCTATAGTTAAAGAGGGGTTAGTCATTAGAGCACACTGCTTTGTCTTGGAAAGGCAACTTCTTGCTTGGCTAGTTTATGGAAGCTAAGGAGTGACGTCAAGATCTTGTCTGGCCAGAATTTGCAGATAACCATAGAACTCTTCTCCTCCATCAGGCATGGATTTAGCCTCCTTTAGTTCCTGCAGTGACACAGGAGCCTCCAAATACCAAATTATTATCAGGCGGTCTTGGGGGAACCTCTGGGCCCTGCAATAAAGTAGACAGACTTGCTATTGGAAAGTGCTCGGGAGGAATTCAGCCTGTTCAGATTGCTCTACAATCCTGCAAACCATCTCCGGACTTTTTAAATGAAACCCTCATATCACTCCAGATAGTGAGAACATACTTCAGGGGATATAATTGATCATCATCTTTCACTTAAATAATTTTATGCATCATTTTAAGAAGTCAGATTTGATCATGTTTGTTTGCTGCTTAATTTTTAAAGCAAAACTATTCAAGTATTGAGGTTGTATCACTCCGGACAAGTCACTTCTGAGCATTGCTTGTAAAATAAGGTGTTTGTATTCATTGATCCTTCAGGTCTAACTCTGAGGATCACAAACAGGTGGTAGACTGTGAGCCAAACCTGACTCACACTGATATATTCTTATTTATCTCACCCAGTGTGTTAAGTCTTGGAGAATCCACATAAAATAATAAAAGCCTGTTTTCTCTGGAAATATTAGAGTATCTGGCAATACCAGGCCCATACTCCACCATCGCCTTCACTACCCCATAGCATTTTTCTTCCAGCCTGTTCTTACACTGACCTGCCTGATCCTTGTTGGTAATTGGGGTTTTGGACCCTTGCTCTAACAGAGCTTATTGTACTGCCTATCGCATTGCATTATGATTACATGATGATCTAACTATCAGCCTTGCCAGTGAGACTCCTTGAGAGTGGGTAACAAGCCATCATTTTCATGAGATCTCTAGTTTCTAGGATTTTAAGAATGTTATGAATAAATATTTAATGAATCATCTTCATTATATAAGTTAGATTCTTATAACTCAGTGAAATGAGTAAGATCGTACATATAGATCATACATACATTAGATCTTATAATTCAGTGATCTTCGTAAGATCATTCATATATTCTAAAGTCAACATCGTTGAATAGCATGTATTTAGGAAAGGGAAGTATATAGGCCAGTTTTTGACTCAAGCCTCTGATGCAGCCATAAGAATAGTGGTGTTGTACTATCCATATGATATTACACTTTAAGCACATGGAAAAACTACTAAACTCTCTCTCTGAGATCTTCTCAAATGTTTTTTCCACTGCAACTTCTTGGAAGAGACTTTCTTTAGAGGTTCTTTAAATGCTCACTTGTAAAAAAATATTCAATGGGGCTCATGCCTATAATCCCTCCCTTGGGAGGCCAAGATGGGAAGGATGACTTGAGTCCAGGAGTTCAAGACCAGCCTGGGCAACAAAATGAGAACTATAGCTCTACAAAAAAATAGAAATAAAAAAATCAGCCAGACATGGTGGTAGGTACCTACATTCCTAGCTACTCAGGAGTCTATGGAAAGAGAACTGCTTGATCCCAGGAGTTTGAAATTATAGTGAGCTATGATCATGCCATTGCACTCCAGCCTGGGTGACAGAGTGAGACTCTGTCTATAAAATATATGTTTTATATATATATGTACACACACATATATACATATATGTACATGTATATGTATGTGTATATACATGTATGTGTATGTAAATATATGTACATATACCTGTATATGTGTGTATATATAAAGTACACGTAGGTATGTATATTTACATAATGCACATATATATATATATTCGGTGGGAATTATCTAATTCAAAGCTAAGTTCTCAACATTTTATGGGCCTATAGCAACAGATTCATCTCTATATCAGGTCTGTACATTTTGAAATATTTTAATTTCTGCATGACTATAATTAGAATGTTCAAAGAAAAGATTTTTTGTCCAAAGCCTATTTCTGCTAAAATTGTTATCTAAATCTGTTTAAATTGGCTAAATATATTGTTAAAAACATATCCAATAAATGAACAATTATGTAGGCAAATTTGAAAGGAATAAAATCATTGAAAATGATTATGAGTCATCTTTCTTGTTACATATCTGCTAGTAATTAATATTTCAGTAATATAAAGCCACATCTGGTCAACATGTGGCCAATATCAAAGGTACACCACATCTTGTGCTATAAAGGAATGATTCAACAGACAAAGATCCTGCCCTCCAAGAACTTACAATCTAACCTAAACGAGACTGCAGACACATATGTGAGAGTATTCATACTCACTACTTAACAAAAGACCACAGATACACCGAAGATAAAGGAAAACATTATGAGATAAAAAATGACATTTACAAAAGGATGAAGGGAAGGACAAAAGTAAATTGCTTCTTCATTCTCATTTATTTGAAAAAGGATTCATGGAACATGTGGATTTTAAGTGTTCTTAAAATCATGAAACAGTATATGTGACTTGTTGCCTGGAAAAAAGAAAATCTCTTTTGGTATATGGTGTGGAGTGACTGAGGACACTAAGCTGGGACATTACATTGGGTGCAGGGCCTAGCAAGACTGTATATAGAAGGAATGACCAAATGGAGGTTGGCCACTTGAGTAGAGGCCAGAAACTGACAGGAGGCACAGAATGACTGAGCCACACAATCAAGACTTCTCCAAAAGGAACTAAAACCTTTGCAAAAAATCTCCACAGACTCCAGATTAAGGAAATAACCTTTGAAGGCTTTCTTTCCGGATGCCTAAGGGAAGAAAGCACTTCCAGCCATCCATCTAGCCCACTTTCATCTAGAGGATCTCATTTGGTATTTTGTTTGCACTTTAGCTTGTTTTTTCAATTTCTCTTACTGGACTTGTTGCACTGATCCAGTCTACTTAATCATTCAGCTTTGTCTTTCCTCCCTTGACAAAGGGAGGGTATGTTGATTTTAGTCAGCCTCAATTATACTACAGCCTCAGGCTAACTGAAGTGCATCATAGACCTGGTACTGGTGGTAACTGAGGTGTCAAAGTACTCTATTCCTAGGGAGAACAATCAAAATGATGACAGATGCTCCCATCACAGTATCCTACTTAGTCTTATACCTTATTTGACAGTTCTGAGTGCAGGGCATTCCAAGGATCTTTGGAGGAGGCTCACCCCATCAAAGAAGGCACATTTTAAGCAATGCCTCTACTCACCTTGTGCACACCACAATGACAGTATTAAGATTAATAATACCTTGATTTCAACTAATATATTTTATTTCAAGAAGCTCAATATTCTTCACACATTATTCTGTTTATCTTGTCATGTTATAAAGTCAACCAAAATCTCCAGTGGATTCCAGTCTCATACATTAAAAGCTTGTAATACTGTTCTTCCTAACTCTTAAACTCACATCCAACCTTAAACATACCTTGGGATAAATTTCAGTGAATAGGATGAAGTTACAGGTATCTCCTTATATATACACAGATCTGATACTCACCACTAAGGCCCTTCATCCCGTTCTTATGGGAAAGTCAACAGAAAGCCAGACCCCAAAGCCTAACGTTGCAATAATCTTCTACCTTTCCTCTAAGACAAGGTAGGAGAACGGTATTTAAGACGGGATAGGAACATGCATGATACCCACTCTTTAGTGGCAAGGAATCCCTGGGATCTAGGCCACCTGACGTCATGGCCCTCATGGCCCCATATTCACGTATGAGGGAAGGCCTAGAGCCCCAATACCATAAGCCTGTTTGTCCCCATGAGTTTACTTTTTGTTGGCTTTAAGGCTGTGCTCCACATTTAACATTGGAGCAGTGGTGCAGAAGATAGCACAAAAGGCCCTTGGAAAAATCTCAAAGTTGCTAACAGAGATTAATGGATTAATTTGGTTTTGAAAAATAAAAGTCAGTATATCTAATATGCAAATCATCTGCTACCATGTCTCTTTGCTATGTGGTCACACAGCAAGGCCTCATGCTGGGAACTTGGACTGAGCAAAGAATACAGGACTCTCCAAACTGATACCACCTGTGGGCAACACAGCACCTTCCCAACTACCTAGAGTTCATGTTTCAATTACTTTCAATAAGCTAAATTTAAATTACATCCATTGCCTGTCATCTATAACTGATACATGTGCATTCTAATGATACTTCTGGTTTCTGTCTCTCTCTTTTTCAAGATAAGCATGACTGGATTCCAACTTCATGTTGACAAATGGTTTTGGAAAACGGATCCCAAGAGAAGTCAGTATCTGCCCACAGTTCTTTCCCAGCAAGAGACACACCCGGAGAATTCTATAAGCAACAAACTAAAGGATCTATTCCTGGGCCAAAAGCTGCAAGAATCCTCAGACATTTCACTGCCCCCTGCCCCCTGCCAGTCATCCCTGTCAGGGGCTCTGATAAACATTCTGGTTGATACAGCTATGCAGCAAATGGGCCAATAAGTATAAACAGCTGTACTTACATGTGTCTGGCTTGAGCTGACTGTTGGTGATGCCAAAGTACTGGGGATTTTCAATGACAGGGATCTTGGTCATGCCAATAATGACGGCATCCGGACCACCTTCTGAAGAAGATGGGGTGTTACTCCCATTGGAAATGTGATGGAGTGGGCTGGCAGAGTCATCATCATTGCTGATAACGGAAGCTGGGCCTAGAGATGGAAAAATATATATGTTCTCCTATAAGCAATGGCTTTATTGAACTGTAATTCACATACATAAAATTTATCCATTTAAAGTACACAATTCAGTGGGTTTTCGTATATTCATAGAGTTGTGCAATAATCACTATAATTGTAGGACATTTTCATCACCCCGTTAGCACTTACTCCCCATTCCCTCCACTTACAAGCGTAGACATTCACAGATTTACACTCTATCTCTCTGGCATTTCATATGAATGGAACCATATAATATGTGATCTTTTGTAACTGGCTTGTTTTACTTAACATCATGTTTTTAAGATTCATCCACATTGTAGTATGTATTAGTACTTCCTTTCTTTGTATTGCCTAATGGTACTCCATTGAGTGAATATGTTGCATGTTATTTATTCATTTATCTGTTGGTGGACATTTGGGTTGTTCTGGCTTTTTGACTATTACAAATAATGCTACTATGAACATTCATATACGAGTTTTTATGTGGACACATGTTTTAATTTCTCTTGGGTGGAATTACTGGGTCATATGGTAGCTCTATATTTAACATTTTGAGGAACAGCCAAACTGCTTTCCAAAGTGGCTGTACCATTTTATATTCCCACCAGCAGTGTACAACAGCTCCAATTTCTTCACTTCCTTCTCCTGTAAGATAATATGTAGCTTTCCTCTCTGTTCTATGATTGTATCTAGAAAGCTCTGTCATTGAAACTCTAAACATGAATCTGGGATTCCCATTTCACAGAGCATTGGAAGTTGTTCTGGGAGTTTCAGAATCTGGGTTTCATTTCTTTACCCTTTGGACAAGTCACTTACTTTCTCTGGACCTCTACATCCACTTATATGCAAAATAATATTTGCTTATTTTGACACTAGAATGAGATTAGTAATATGAAATGTATTATAAATTTAAATGTGCTTCATGAGTATGTATTACTACTAGGTATTACTAAATGAATTTTAACTGGAAGACTAGATATACATTTGACCATCCTATGACTACATTCCTCTTTCTTCATATTTTGTGAGTATCTGCATCGCTTTTGTCTACAAAATACTTTTACAACAATAGTGGATCAATCCCATGGCAAAGTTACCTGCTTTGTCTTTAGCTGTAGTACTATTTATAGAGTCATCACTTGGTGTCTTTATACTAAATTAATAATCATAGCATTTTTTGTACAAGACAAATTTTCTAGTCCAAAGTCTCAGAATGCATATGCTCACACATACAGTGTACTATATCTTGTCTAAACAATTCACCCATTAGCCACTAAACTCATGCTGTTTGTAACCAAAATTAGATTCACAAAAATAAAGGTCTATGTGAAAGCTTCAAATCAATGAAGATGGCAGTGGCTCATGACAGGCACTTTCTACGTGGGAGGTGGACAAAGTTCTCTAGATGTGTATTAAACATGGAAGGTCCCACAGAAGCAGACCACTGACCTGACTACAGGCATAAGCCTAGAGAAAGAACAAAGAGGAAAGATAATAGGGAGTGAAAGGCAGAATCAAATGCCCAGCCAAAGCAAATGCCATGCCAGGAAGAGTCTGAATTGCTACTTCCTAGGCAAGAAAATGTGCTTTCTTCCAATCCCCACACCCTCACTAAATGCACATTTCGGCAATTCCATCCTTTCATTCTTTCTCCAGCTTTTCCCTCACACTTAACTATTGCAGTGAAAAGCACAGCAATTCTGAAAACAAAAGTTGTTTGTCATCCAGTCTTGAATTCCCTATGAAATATAATAATCCCTCATCCCCCAACCTCCACGATCCATTTTTCCCCCTCATAAGGGGATTATCACAGTTTGTAGTGATAACAGTTGGACATTCCCCAGCTAAGCAGTGTCTTAAACAAACTATGCAAGAGACAGCCAACTGTTATTATAGGTAATTTTTGAAGGATTCTCTCAAGGGGATGTGCATTTAAGCTGCCTTTAATGATGCATTCTGGCTCAGTTCTGCAAACAAGTCCTCACACAGCCAATTTAGAAGCCACAGAACACTCAAAAGCAAAGGCAAGTCCATCAGTTGTGCTCATCTTGTGTCCAGCTCACCAGCATTAGGATACAGCAGAAATTCTGCTAAGAATAACTACAAAGACAAGTTCTTTCCAACATTCCTAACCATCCTGTTCTGTGACTTGCTCTCTGATGCAGGCCTAGATCGTCCAGCTTCTGGCCAACAATTAAAAATGAAGATGTGTTAGGCTAAGGTTTCCACATCTTGTCAATAAAACCTTCTCACCACTGACTGCCTTGCTTGGTTCCCGGCGTGGCTGTTCCCTCCCGCAAGGTTACCAAAGCATGCTCCTGCCTGAGATCCCTAAAGGACTGGCAGTCAAGGCTGCATATTTCTCAGTAGACTCCAGGCACCACCTTTACCCCAGGAATGCAGAAGTTTCTTTTTCTTAAAATTTCTTTTTTTTTTATTGCAATAGTATTTTGGAGAACAGGTGATATTGGTTACATGAATAAGTTATTTAGTGGTTTCTGAGAATTTGGGGTATCCATCACCTGAGCAGCATATACAGTACACAATGTGTAGCCTTTTATCCCTCCTCGTGCTCCTGCCCTTTCCCGTTGGTTCCGGAGATCGATGGGATCATTCTTATACCTTTGTACAGGAGTTTCATTTTAAAACATTCTATATGCTGTCAGAAATCCAGAAATATTTGCTTCTGGAGCCCTTGAAATGATTAGAAATGCATTGACTCCAGTTGCTTTCTTCTCTGACTCTCCTCTGGCCCAGGACACTCTGAGGTTCATGAACATCAGAGCAGCATTCAATCATTTTTGAGGAGGCTGATACCTAGAAGACAACTTGAGATGCCCAAATTCAGACTGAATCTTCTGCCAAGTACACAGTGAAGCCCTCACTTAAAGAGTCCAACCAAGCAATTTGCTCTCTGCTTCTCCTTCTTCACGAAGGGATACCCGTTCCTTGCCTAAACCTCTCCAATTAAAACCTCCAACTCTGATGTAACAGATTGCAAGGAAATGAGCTCTTGTTTGGGGAGTGAGGGTAGGATTAAGCTTAGAAGCAGTAAAAAGCACCACAGGTAATTTTTCAAAAGCTTTTTCACTCTGCCAGAAAAGTCATTGTTGACAAATGTGAGTAACACATAAACCTCAACAATTCATCAAAGGGGATATTATTTCAAGTGCTGTTTTCCGCATTACTGATGTTCCAAAACCTGGAAGATTGATATGGCTGGCAAGTTTGCAGGGTTTAAGCCCAGTTTTCTGTGAACATTTTGATATAATGGAATACAAAGCACAGCAAAGTTGGGAAGGCAGAAGAAGCTCTCAGCGGGGGTAATGAATGTCTACATAATTTGACGACAGCCTGTCTGTGCATACCACTGGATGTGTCTTTGTATGTCTATGCATGTGTTTGAACAGGCACCACGAAAAAGACAGAAGAAGAATAAAGGGCCATATTACCATGTGTTAAACAAAATTCATGTGAGGACTTGAAAAATGTATTGTAATATTAATATAAAATATTAAATGGCAAGGTATGTGCACATTTGGCTGATTTAGAGTAAATAGTTCTAATCACTCAGCTGACAAGCATGAGTTAAGCCTGGAAACATTTTTAGCCCATTTTTATTTTAATATGTCTGCTAGGTCACATATCCTGTACTGTGACTCTACAGACATTTCTAAGCCTAACGTAGACTTAATTTCCTGTGATAAGAATCACGAAGGTCATCTGGGGGAGTTTTCTTCTCTCAATACCAATAGTGCCTTCAAGGTGAGGGGAAGGATTAGTACTCTTGAAGTACTAAGCAAGACTTTTTATATTCTGGATTCTGGTGCTTTGACATCTGGGTCCGTGCTGATTCTGGAGGGAGAGCCGCTCCCACCCAGGGTGAGTCAGTTCCTACAGATGGCAAATACCCTGCCTGGGAGCACGCCTTTCAAATGCAAACCGACCAGTCCAGAGACAACACTCCAAACCTAACGTGACTTCCTAATGTGACTTTCACACTCCAGGCCACTATCCACCTGCCCTAGCCACTCCAGGGCCAGGTACTTGACAACTCTAGACAGCTCCTGTATCCTACAGCCTGTTGAAATTACTCAGAGCAGCCAATCCTAAACCTGTTTAACCTCCCTCCCCTGTTCCTTACGCTGGAAACAGACTAAAAGCTCCTGCCCAACTTCTCCCTTTCCTCCTGTGCCTCTTAATGGATCCCAGCACTTCCCCAAGTGGCCCAGCATTGCATGATGTGCTCCTTTCTTTTGGGAACCATGAGTAACAAACTATCTTCTCAATGGCAATCATCTCCTAAACTGGTGGTCTCACTAAGCCTGAAAAATATGAAACCTATGTTGTATACCAGTAGGTTATACAACAGTCCAGTCCAGTCCTCTGCTGGACTGCAGCTGGAAGAATAATTCTGAAGAACTCTCTGCTGTGGCCTACAGGACTGAAACCACATTTTTGCAGCTTTCTGGGAACAAGCACCCTCCTTCAGTGCAAATTGGCTTGAAAAATATTTAAGTGGTTGCAATGACTTGCGGTTTAGCAGAAGCAAGACCCTGTCTCATAGCACTGTTACGGGAGAGTTTATTACCACCTTCCCCCAAAACACAAGGGATACACCTACGCATGCATATACATCAAAGCCTAAAAAAAAACACCTTTAAGACTGCCCAGGCAGGATAATCCCTCTGATATCTTAGCAGAGTGACTATGATCATCTGTGTCTGAAATTTGCCCCTGGAGGGCTGCCTAGAAGTGCTGACTACTTGAGCTTGATGTTCTAACTTTGCCAGGTCTCCACTTCCCTTTTGCTGGTTAAGAGCTTTAACCTGGGAATTCATGGAGCTACCAAGAGTCAAGGTGGCATTTTCCCCCTCCAGGCCCTGTCTGGCCAGGCCGCCTCAGCCCACTGGTCATTTTTGGATCACTGACAGACAGAAATATAGGCTGCCCAACAGGACAAGGTCTGATGTCAGGTTCAAAAGTGGCAG